ATAAGTCCTCAAAGCTCAATGTGAAAAAAAAAATATTTGCACTTTACTTCCATGTATCTGTGAATCTTATTTGGGAAATAAAAGATTGAATATAAATTTAAAATTTTGCATTTGACATGATTTAAAGTGATTTTTCAAATAAATTAAAACAAAATCATACACAACATAAGCATTAGATAACTTACAAACAATAGATAACTATATAATAATCCTTAATTGTATGAATTCAAACAACACTAAAAGTGTGCAATAGAATATTAAAATATCATACCATTCTCTGGGCGAAGTCTGTCATATGCATCTTCATAAATAAAATCTCTACGAATATTAAGATCAATATTGAAGCCCGCCAAGAAACTTGGCATGTCTCCCTGTGACTCTTCTTTATCTCGCTTGATTAGGTCACGTAGTATCTGTAACATAACATTTGCCACAGCATTAAAAGTGTTTTTCAAAATAAAGACCATAACCAATGGTTCTACTTGCATCTAAGGTTGAAATACAGTAAGAGCCATTTCACAGCCCATCAACAATGCAAGCTGAGGTTGAAATAGACAGCATGGCTTCAAATGCCCTAACACAAAGTTGAGTAACAAAACAGTAACCACTGTGCCAACCAACCACCATTTAACTTTATAACTTTTCCACAGAGAATGCAACGTGACAAGGCGCGTGCAAAGGATCGTTTTTATGGTAGTACCATAATGCTCTGCACATCCTCCGTGATGCTTCACAGCCAACCTTGATGCTTAGTACATCTTCTGTGACACTTAAAGAATTAGCCAGCATTATTACAAACATACTAACAAAAATATATACAGTAGTAGTACTAATAAGTATGAGAGTGACTTGAGATTTCAGGGCCAACTGACTTCTTTGATGGTGATTGCAGTTACTTGTTTAAAAAAGTTTGTAAAGTACAGCTTGTGTACAAAAATATCTCATACTAACACTTTCAACAACAAAAAAATGTTAAAACTTGACTGAACTTCTATAAAGCAATTTTGCTTTTGGTGTGAACTCTCACCATGATGATTCACAAAAACACTGTCCACTCAGGCTGCCATCGGAAATCAGCAGAAAGTGGTAATAGATTTGTGTGCTGACTGCACAGATTTAGGTCACAATTTAACAAGATTCCATACTTTTAATGAAATTTAGCACTGAAAAAAAATTTTCAAAGTTTGATGATATTAAAATGTGAGTGCTTACCATAACTCTTTCTATAAATGGAATCACAAATGGCATCTCTGCCAGAATTGTCAACTTCAAAGTTTCTTGGACAGATAGTGGAGGAACATCATCATCCAATGCCATATGTGAGCGCAAGAACCGCAATCTTCCAACATTGGAGTAATTTGTCATTCTTTTTCTGGAAACACCCTACAAAAAAAGACATATTAGTAGATAAATCAATTTTCCTAAAATTTCCCCAGTAGAACTGCCTCAGTAGCAGTGCAGCACTAACCCTAGTAACAAATTGGGCAGTACACTGGGAGACAGTCCTCTGCTCTCCTAAACGTAGATTGTGTTTAATGCACATATGGGCCATGTTTTACAGGAAACCTACAAGTTCAAGTTTACTAATCTTATATAATTTGAAAACTTGTTTAGCACACTCAGTTATATAATATCCCATTTTTGCAATTACAAATCTTGTGCACGTTCATTGCGTAGAAACTCTAGATTTGTGATGATGTTGCAGCTGCATCGCTCCATCCATGTTTACGATGATCCTAGATGATGAGTTCTTTCTATTAATATCCTTTTATTTGTACAAAAGTAATACTGAATGGCTCAGTTAGACAAAGAATAAGATGTTATTGTAAACCTGTACGAAGATATTTTGAACATTGAGTGAGAAGAAAGAATGATACACATATGCATAGCTATGCAGTTAACCAGCAACACTGTAAGGTTGTGTTTACGAACTTTCAACGAAACCGGATAAGTAAAAAAGGACACAATGCCCAGAGGGTAGGTCATTAGATTGCTCGTTTACGAACCCCAAGTAATTCGGATACC